CCTCTTTATCCGGGCTTGGGACCGGCTAGAATACTGGTGACCTAGTAATCTAGGGTAGGTTAAGTCAGAAGATGAGTCATAGTAATTCCATTATGGGTAAATGGAATTACACTCTACCAGAGTGCACAAGTTTTATTCTTATATCAATGAGTCATAATAGTTCATGGGATCAATATGAGCAAATGATATGTAAGTGGATTGTCCAAATTGCTGGCCGCAGAGTCAATAATCTACTCCTGCTACACAGACGACAACCAAGAGCACACTGAGGAAGTGACTGTCAGCAACAAAAACAAAGGTCGTTACATAATGGAAAACCATATTCTCCAGGATTATGACAGTAAGATTCACCTCAAAAAGAAGAAAAGTCACGGTTATCCACTGTTATGCTCGTACAAATAATGCAGTGTAGGGGATTAAAGAAGTCCACTAACTCAACCGATCCCCAACTGTTTCACCGTCAGCGATCAATTGATTATCAGTGCGGATTGAAAAACATGGTGAACAATACAATTTTCAAAGGACAAGAACTTGGAACCTTCGTCGTAGGGTGATTATCTAATCTTATACTCTCTTCAAGTCATTGTCAACAGATACGTCTTCCAGCAGCCGGAAGTGTTCTATTCTCCCCTCGCTAGTTGTGGCGGTGTTAAGAGCAGTCTGGCCATCAGATTAGGTGGGTCAGGCTTAACAGTCAACAAGTAGTGTGGTTAGAGCTCAGTTTTAGCAGGATTGATAGTCACATAGCAATCATGGACGTTGTTTCTAGTTGAAGCCGACTGGAAGTGACCTCAGGCCTATGCAAGCAGCCCATCTGATTGGTTTCCTAGAGCAGATCAAGTAAAGGGAGAGTTCTACAAACAGTTGGAAATATTGATGGACCAGGCAACAAGTGGAGTTATCAAAATCCTAATAGGTTGTGATACAAATGACGAACTAAGACAAAAGCAGGAGCACAACTCACTATGGGTCGGGAGGGTCTCGATGAAATGAGTGAGAACGGTGAATTCTTCGCAGGCTTCTAAGCCTTCACCGATTTAGAGCGCAAAAGAAAACCCGAGTGAAGAATATTCTTTTCGAAAATTTCCTCTATGGCTCTACAATTATATACAATTATATATATATTTATATACACAGAATATTCTAGAATAATCTTCATCAGCAGTACTGTTTGTTTTTAAATAATATCGATTCTTCAAGATCAATGAAATTGCACTCCAGAGAGCGATACGTAAGTTATAATAAGTTTAAAAATTCAACAGTGAATAGAATATCAAATAAAATCCAGGAAATCTCTATGACAAATTGAGGATCAATGAATCCTTGATTGCCAAGGCAAGGAAGTAATCTGGACCAATTTCTTTCGTATACATAGGTTAGGCTTCTTAATGTAGATTCCCACAGCCTCAGCAATATGTAATAGAGGAATTCCCGAGATAAAATTAAGATTAACTGGTATTCGGTATATGACATTGAAGATCTTGTTTACATCAAGTTTGTTTTACGAGATGAAACAGTGATTGGAGATAGTGTGTACAAGTACAAGGATACATACAAAGTGATATCGATTCCACCTGATGGACACACCAAAAATCAGATGGACGCCATCTCGATACTGCCCAAGAAGGAGGGGCGCAGTCTAGTGGAGACATTGGAGAAGGAGAACTGATGTGGGCTCAGACAAGAAACCTTCAGGGTCAAGCCCTAAGCTTTCAAAATGACTGGAAGCAGACCTCAATTCAAGTTCAACACTCGGAAACTGGAGGAAGCAACTACCAAGGGAACCTTCACTTCAGCCGTCAGGGAAAGCCAGAGACATTACGTAGCATCACCAAGGATATCTGTGTTGGAGAATATCGAGACTCTTTTGAGGTGATGTTTAAGGAAATCTAGGTAGCCGTTTTAGATAAAAAAGAGAGGCAAGACAAGAAATAGCTCTCTGAAAATACGTGGGAGCTGATCCATGAAAGAGGTCTTGTGAAACAATTGGAGCATTTCAAAGACGGACAACCAAAAGAGAAGCTTAATTCAATGTACAGTGTGCAGAATACCGAAGTGGAGAGTGTTAAGAGAGACAAAAGACGATCCTAAGACACATCGGCAACCAAGGCAGAACAGGGAGCAGGTAAAACCCTCTGAACACTACATCACATAGGTAGGTTTATCAGGGAAGAAAAGTAGACAGCGGGCTGATTACTCCGAAGGATTCTTCAACTACTACCCGCACCTGGTCCAAAATAGCTCCAACAGCTGCAGAACCACTAGTGAGCACCAGGCTTCCAAAAAATCATAAGCTCGGACTGAAAGCCAGTTAAGAAAGTAGAAGGACAGGACGGAATTCCTCCGAAGGAACCGTAAACGGATCCCAAGTCCTCACTTGGTATCGTCACATCAGGATTACGGACAGGAAAAGTGCTTGACTGTTGGGTTTAGAGCTAGCTTGTCGGACCGTTGAAGAAGATGAACTGAGCTTCGCAGAAAAGAGAAGAGAAAGCGCTATCTTGTCCGCGTCAAGCGAAATATTAAATCGTGTCACTGTGCGGGGACTGGAAGATGCTTTAGATGCAAAAATCCATTTCTAGCAATCTGTATTCACGAAAATCAAATTAACTGTGGATCAAATTTCTACGTTGCGCATCAATGTCAAATACACCACAAAGTGGTGACCATATCTCTACCTCAGCTTGATGGACTCCGGGAAGGCATTTACAGCGCTGACTGCAGAGTAATTTGGAAACCGCTAAAAAATTGCAGTGTCTCGAACCTTTGCCAACCTCACTTAATATCTATATGATGATGCCATGGGGGAAAAAGCAAGTGGAGCCTGAAGTAAGACAAAGCTTATTACTATCGCTGAAGATATTCCTCATTAGGTGGGAGATCATATGGCAGACCCTGGTAAGAGAGAAACCAGGAATACGTTGGACCGACAAGGAGACTCTAGAAGTTCTGAACTCCACGAGTGGCTTGCGTTTAATGTCACGCAAACTCAAATATCTACGAGCAAGATCCAACAGGTTGGTGGCAGGAGCGGAGAAGAAGGTGGTGATGAAGATAGCCAGCCAACAACATCAACCAGTGCCAAACAATGTCGACGGGCGAAATCTGAAGGAGGACACCTCTTTCGCTTACTCAGAGGAGCAGTATCGTTTCAGTTACAAGTGGCAAGGATAAAAGTGTCGAATCCCGGATCGTCAGAGCGAGACAGACCTTTGTTAATCAGAAATCATTGTGGAAATCTACCACACTCAGAACTAATGTCAGATGAGTGCCCTTATGTAGTTCGGAGACTTGCCAAACTCATCACGAGAATAATTCGCATTAGATTACTGCAAGCTTTCATCAACAACTGCCTTCGCTACTTCGCCAGTGAAGAGCGGAAAACCAGAACAGAGAAACAAAGAGGAACTGTAGCGACGAACATACCGACAACTTGCTGCCCAACATATATGCCAAAGGATATTATGATGGACCACATAAACACAAGGAGACTGTTGGATGACATTAAAAATAATAATAATTTATATTTTCATATAAACATATATACACGCTAGGACATAGTTGGAGCGGAATGCGAATGGGAAACGACGAGTTTGGCCCATGTCTGAGGGTAAAGTGGAGCAGATGAAAGCCTATAGGCAATTGTGGCACTAGAAATGGAAATGTACTTATGTTCCACTCAGAACCCAAGGGAATATTATTATGATCATTTGCTTATTTGATCAGTGAATGTCAGTTTCTGGCTGGAAATTCTATGCAGCCAGTGGCATTAGGTATTATATGTCCATATGGGTAGCTCTTATTAAATACAAAATAATCGAGTAAAGAATATTCTTTTCGATAAATTCCTCTTCCAGGCTCTACAATTATATATGTTTATATACACAGAATACTTTAAATGAGTAGTTAATAACAATATTAGCGTTTTTTAAATAATATCGATTTGTAAAGTATGATCAATGCTATTACAGTTCATTAAAGATGCTTAAATTATAATAATAACAAAGATATAATAGCAAATAGAATATCAACTAAAATTAGGGAAATTTCACAAAATTTCTGGATTATTCAAACCTGGATGGCCAAGGTAATGATAATGACTAAACTAACTTCCTTTGGCTTATTAATATGGATCTCCACAGCCTCAGCAATATTTAGGAGTCGAACTCTTAAAGCGAAATTGAGATTCGTAGGTATGCGGTAAATGACCCTGAAAGCATGGTTAATGTCAATCTTGTGTTCTGTCTCCACAAGATGGGCCAGAATAGCGCTGCAAATAGATTTTGTTTGACCTTTGCTTAACCAGACAGGGTGATGTTCGGAAATTCGACGCGAAACACGCCTAATTGTACGGCCTATGTAACTGGCTCCACAGGAGCAGTGTTTTGTACGCCTCTCAATATGCAACCACAGTTATTTTAAAAGCTTGAAAGCTGTACTCATTCTGACAGCCCTTGCTTAAAAGTACCTCATGCACGCTGAAAAGAGTTCAGAGGTTTGACAAACATCTGATACTCTCTGTGACTGAATTATCATACGAGGCACCATTGAGAGGACTGATTGTTTTTCGCTTATCTTAACTTGTGGGGTGGAACAAAAGTGATGTTCCTAATTTTAATAAATAACTATGGACTGGATTTATCTTCTTTTACCCACGACCTTGGACTGAAGCATTTCAGGGGACATAGTAGGAAGGGTCGAAGTCTAGGTCTCTCACTGAGTCGTCACGTTTCGGAATTTATCCCCGTATGCCTGCCTTCTCAGTCATTTGCAGTGACAACGAACAAACCTTACTACACAATTAAAGTGATTTATTTAGACCCTGATCTTCCTGTTTCCACTCAACTCACTTGAAGTATTTTTGTGTCACTGCAGTTGAATTTAGTCCAATTCATGTTGGGCATATTTTAAAAGGCATCGTTACGTCTGAATTCTCGTGAGATTTTTTGAGGCAGGGATATCTCCAAGTATTATGTGTACTTTGTTTAAAGTTAGTCTACGTTCTTAGTTTTGCTTCTTTGTATTGTTTACTGCGTATACTTTGGCAATGTCTGGGTTGTGTTAAACTGATAGTTTGTCCTATTTTTAATGCGTGGGGCTCATTGACAGTATGTGGTTAGATTAATCTGCTAGTATTCCAGTCCAAAACTGGGAGGTATTTCTGTCACACGTCAAAAAGGGTGTCCTGTATAGCGGTTTCATGCCCCTTAATTCGTTATATTCATGAAAATATGTATTTTGAATGCAAAAATAGCCTTCACCATGCCTTTGATGCGTTCAGGGTCATTTGTTCACTGGTACGTACTGGTGCTTAGAATTTAACTTTGCCTCCTATTCCATTTTTTGCGCTATATATATGCTTTCCAAATAAAAAAGACTATGCCCCTCTTATTCTTAAATCAGAAAATTGAATCATTTGTTAATTCACTATTTCTTAGGTCGCATTCAGTTTTAGTATATAGCTGTTTTGGTGACAGATAATAGTTGTTCTCCGCTGATTTCTGAAACTGGTCTATGGGCAACAGACTCTTTAGTTGACTTTGTTAAGTTTCCTGCTGAGTACATTCTCAAAGCTTCAGATTCAGATTTATTGGTTGAGGATAGAAGGCTTGGAGCCTATGTTAATCCTTTTCTAATAAATTTCTGTGGTTGTCCAAACCCTTCTTGAATGAATCAGCTGAGGTTGCAGACACCACTTCTTCTGGGAGTTGGTTCCAAGAGTTTATGACTCGGTGTGAGAACCAGCACTCAACAGCAATATGATTTATTCTTTGCTTTTGAACTCTCCTGCTATGTCCTCTAAGATGTTCCGACCTGGTGGGAAGGAAAAGAGAAAATAGGTCAGGTTCGTAGTCACTACTTAGAATTTTAAGAATTGTGATTAAATCTCCTCTCTGCCTAAGGTATGACAAGGAGAAGAGATTTAAACTGTCTAGTCTTTCCTCGTATGATAAGTTAGTCATGCCATGAATCATACGTGTTGCCTTCCTTTGAACCCTTTCTAGAATAAGTGAGTCCCCTTTTAGACAAGGGCGGGCGGCCTGGATGCAGTTTTCCAGTCTTGACCTCACCAGAGATGTATATAAGGTGAACATATCTTTGGTGATTCTAATGAAGGCTCTGCGAACTGCCCATGAGGACCTGAAACTACGTGCGGCCACCGCACGACAGTTTGCTGTGGTTTTTAAGTCGTGGCTAACTATGACACCTAAGTCCAAGTGAGTCTGAACTGATGGAAGTGTAATTCCCTCTAGTTCAAAGAGCTCGTGCTTGCTTGTCCAATGCGCATGGTTGCACATTTTGCCACATTTATCGGGAGCATCCATTCTATGGACCACTCTGACAATTTGTTGAGGTCCTCTTGCAACGTGGACGTGTTACTGTTGCCCTTCAGCTCTCTCCAAATTTTTAAGTCATCTGCGTATAGGACCATAGGGGAGTCGGTGAGCAGAGATAACTCATTGATATACAAAATAAATAGGAGAGATCCGAGTACCGTGCCTTGTCGTACTCCGCTGCGTACTGCTGTCCAAAAGGAGAGTTTCGAGTTGATCCTAACCCTCTGCCTCCTATCTATGAGGAATTCCCTGAGCCAATTTAGTAAGCTGCCTTTGATACCAAGACTTTCCAGCTTCATGCGTAGTCTTGTGTAGAGAACTTTATCGAAGGCTTTGCTGAAGTCTATGAAGACGACATCAACGGGTCTTTTGTTGTCCCTTGATTTGACCCAGCTTTCTCTTGCAGTGAGGAGGTTTGACAGGCATGAGAGGTTTCTTCGGAAGCCGTGCTGTGCTCTGGACAACATTTTGTTGTTTTCCAGATATGCGATGATACTTTTCCTGATGGTTCTTTCCAGTGTCTTGATTAAAATGCTGGTGAGACTAATAGGCCTTTAATTTGAATGGCTTTGTCATGATTCTCCTTTGTTGATGGGTGTTACTATGGCGTCTTTCCAGTCACGTGGCAACACTCCATTTAGGAGATGTTTTATTCCTGAAGTTCATGTACGAGAAAATTTTCTTAGGTTGTGCCTTTGCATTTTGAGCCAGGTGTGCTTCGAATTTCATCATTGATTTGCGGATTTCTGCAATAGCGTTATGCCTAACAGTGTTATATAATTTCCTGATTTCAGGAGTCCCTAGTGTGGCAAACAGGTTTCAACATTTGTATTTACGTCTGAGTAACTTACAAATCTCTTGGTTTATTCAAGGGAGGCAATTTTTCCGACCCTTTGGGACAGACCAAGGGATGAAAGGTTCAGTTACTTGGGCATAAAGTTGTTTAAATTGGTTCCATGCGGCTTCTACGTGAGACTCTGGGTTGATGTACCAGTTTACTGAGTTGGTTGCTGAGACAATTGCATTTATATCAGCTTTCCAAATGTTTGGTCGAGATGGGGTTTTGGCCGTTGCTGCCGTTGCTGTGAACTTGAAAGTGAGCACAGCATGGTCACTTCTTCCTAAAGGAGGAAGATGTTGTATGAGATCCACATCCTCACCATGGGAGAACACTAGGTCCAGAGTTGAGGAGGAGTGCTGTGAGTCATAGCGCGTGGGCTTAATGATATGTGGGACTAGAGCTAACGGTATACTAGATTCCAGCAGTTTATAATCAAAGGAGTTGACTGAGGATGGAGTTGTTAGGCTCGTCCAGTCAACTGTTGGGGCATTGAAGTCGCCAACTACGAGACTTCGACATTTCGAGGTCCAGGAGCCTAGCTTCTCTATCAGGAAGTCATCTGCACTGCAGTCAGGACTGCGGTACATAGCAATGAGGTCAATGTCTTGGCCTATGCATTCAAGTCTGCAGCGTAGAAGTTCGCACGACTCACTTTCGTGAGCGAGTGCTTCGATACTACGCACGGTTAAGCATTTCTTGAGGTAGATGACTACGCCACCTCCTTTGCGGTTTAGTCGGTCCACCCTACGCACTTCGAAGTTTGGCAGGTTAACTTCGTTGTCAGTGACATCGGGTGTGAGCCATGTCTCTGTGATAATAATTACATCCGGGTTTCCGGAGTCTGTCATGTTAACCAGCTCAGTCCGTTTATTTAACAGGCTGCGGGCGTTTGTGTAGCAAACTGTTAATTCAGTTTGGTGCTTCCCCGGCCTACCCACAGAGGTTTCGGGATAATTAAACTGCGAACTTGGACAACCCGAAAACCCTTAATCTTAAGGTTCTTTTCGCCGTTTCGGCGTCGTTCGCTTAATTCTAGGGCCGCAGACTGTCTTTTGACACGGTCTGCTAGGTTTAAGTCGGCGTGGACATATATGCCTGATCCTTTAAGTATATGAGTTGCTTAGAATAGCATCCCTCTCTTCTTTAGAGTTTAGTACGACTTCGAGGAGACGTACAGGCTGACTTACTGTAGGGTCAGGCTTTTGGCCTATTCTATATACCCTATGTATAGTAATGCCTGATACTGTTTATGGCAGTAGCTTGTCTAAAAGGGGCTTAACCAAGTTAAGGTCATGCTCGAATCTAGTCTTGGGATCGGGGGCCAGTGACTCTTCCACTTTGTGGAGAATGAGCGACCTGCCAGAGAGATCAGGTTTGCCTGCCGTGGCTTTCTTGCTCTGCGGCGTAAATGTCTTTCTGTCCTTCGCGGGCAGTGTGGCCAATTTATTGTCCTTATCTCGCTTTTTGCGAGAGGCTACATTACGCCATTCATTGGCGTTCTCCTCACTAGTCGTAGCAGGATTTATCTGCCTGCTACTCACCGGTGTGGATGAGGCTTGATCCACTAGTACCTGGGTGACTTGAGTTGCAGGTTTACGACCCCTGGTACGCCTCTTCTTTGTGGCAGTCTTTCCATTACTGTCACTGGAGGGCTTATCCAGTATAGTGGGGGCAGCCTGGGTGTCTGGAATGTGGTGAGTGCTCTTCTGTGCTGAAGGGCATTCAGTCATTGACAAAGACTCTTTAGGAACATGTACTGTTTTGTCGATGACGCTAGTCGCATCTTCGATGTCTGAGAAGTAGTCAGTCTTCTCCTGTGATGGAAAACCCTTGCAGTCCATGAGCTTTAAAGCCCCGCTGAGAGTGGCAATGGCTTCTGTAATACGGAGTTTGGTAGTACTACAACAGTCATTGCACAACCAGTTTGCTAGAGGTTTGCAGCAGCGTTTGTATGCTGCAGAACTTAGGTTTGTGCACATACTGTAAAACCATCTCTTGCAGTTATCACACTGCATTCCCTCATCCACTGGAAATTGCCACATAACCCTTCCGTAGCGGTTTTTTTTTGATGGGCATACTGTCTAGAAGGGACTGGCGAAGAAATTTAAGTATAACTTAGATGTATAAAGACCTTTATAAATCAGCGATAAAAATCAATGAGTGCACAAATATATATATATATATATATAACTATTATGTTATAAGACACAATTTCCTATAATTTAAATAGACTCAGATCTGGAAAGTAAACTAACTTTGATCAGAATAAACTGATTTATTGGCACACCCATCAATTGGGTTCATATCCGAAACAGATAAAGTCAGCTAACAAGAAGGCTAGATGCTGGCAATAAGCGGGTTACGTTTTGTGAAGTCATGAGTTGGCCAGTTCGTTCCTTTTGCACAGTAAGGAAACCTCATCAGTGAAAAAATCTGCATGGCCGACACTGGACGACGAGTTAAGGAAAGTAGAAAATTCATTATATAAAAACGAATATCCATAAATGTGTCTAAAAACCTCCATGCTAAGTTTAACAAAAACGTATGTTTTTGACTTTGTGTATCAAATTAGATGTATCCACTGAATTATTGGCATCAAGCTGTTGAGGCTGACCACTTCAATGTGCATCTATAAATGTAACCGCTCTTGTGGATAGCTACATACATAAGTAGAGCCGTTTGCCTGAAGCGTTATCTAATGTGGCTGGGGAAAGGAATCGTAAAGTAATTCAGAAGATTCATGCTGGCGCGCCTGGTGTGTGAACAAGATTGATAAAAGTTCAGTTTTCACCTCTTTATTTAGGGCGCTGCCTCAATTCTCTAAGTTTCTACGCCTTTAGTTGCTTAGCAAAGCTGAGGCAGTTATCTTAGAACGATTTCCCATCTGTTGTGTTCAGAAAAAGCTTGTACAGTCACTCTCTTTCCTATAGCCTTCACACCAACATGCAATAGCTTTCTTTTCCGGTTATACTGGATAAACAGATTTTATCTTTATTGCCATTATCATACTATGCTACAATTGCATATTTGGTATAAAATCAGACGCTATTATATAATTAATACTGGACAATAATTAATTTTCTACTGTACCTGTACAGAAATAAACATTTTGTTTATGCGGTCTCAGTGATTGACTACGGAGATTATATGAACAGTTGCATGAATTTATCCGTGTTATCATTATCTTGTACTTAATTCTGTCGACCATACTGATATCAAATGCCTATGTCTAATAATTTTATTATACAATTGTAAAGTCTGATGAAGTTACCAAAATATGGTTCCCCTTAAATTATGTTCTCTGTCATAAGATGGGTATTTAAAATATTTGCTGTAGGCTGTTGTAGTCCAGGATAAAGAAAGTAAATGAAATGAATGCAGAACCCTTAACTCAATAGTTATTGGTAACATTTTACAAAATTTGGCTCACAACCTACCACATAAAGCATCTGATACGGGCAACTGAATTCTAACAAATAGCTTGAGTATCGTCACTGGAATCTATCGTGTTATATACTAACGACTAATATAATTTGGCGAATCCACAAATTCCAAACTATAATCTGGTTAAAAATATGACCTGGTGTTCTCAGTCATTTGTGATGAACTTTTCATCAGTTTACTCATTTAGTACTGCAGAATTTCTCAAAAGTTCAACGTACGCATCAGTAATTACGTAAGCTTCAGTTGCTTCGGTACTAGTTCAATTATCGTTGGTTACAGATGTAAGACTGGATGTCGTTTTGTAGGCCTTTTCAAGATTTTCGTTGTCTGCTTAGCTTTCCCGTAAGTACTTGTAGAAACCAGTGAATGAGTTACCTACTATGCTTTCCTTTTTATAAGTCCCTGGTTTTCATTATAACTAGAGTGATTTTAGACTTCATGTGACGTGATACTGTATTCGTCAAATGTATACTACGTGTTGTATCGCCAGTTTGAGGTAGATATGCAGTCATAATTTGTTCATCACAAATAAAATAAGTAGTTTGTTTGTTTTATTGCGACTTTGAAATCCTCGCCAGATAAAAGTAATAAAAAATCTCACGTTCGCTGTATAAACGGTCGCAACGTAGTACATAGCAAGCTGATTCTAGGACTACCGTTATTCAGAAGACATCTTTTGTACACAAAGAAAGCGAATCTCATCCCACAGCTTATTAGTTACATACGTTTACACTGACTGACTGGTTTCAAAATAGAACTGTGCACAGAAGTGCAGAAGTCCAAGTTGCAACACTCTATGAAGCACACAGAGGGAAACGTGGTTCAGAAAAACAATAATGCGCAGAAATTTAAGGGACAAAGAATAGTATCATGGAAAAACAATAGGGTTTTTTGGAAGTAGCAAGTCACAGAGAATGAACGTAGCTGCACCATTGAGAACGATATTGAGCTTATCACCAACTGTCTCCAGCCATTGGTTCATAGAATCCCAAGGACCCCAACCAAGCAGTATGCGCCTCCTTGTGTGGCTTAAACTGACTGTTAGAAATTTCATGGACTGATGCCATGTTTTCATTAGACCATCACTAGATCTTTCCCAACCTGATCCTATGTCAGCCAACACTGCTCAGAGAAGGCACGCGTAACACCCTTCCTAACCATCTCAGTCGATGTAGCTTCACAACCTCATCGATAGATTTCCCCTCCTTAACTAACAGTCGACGCCTTACCTCAACATTACTCGCCAAATTATACCACCTAACGTGGGAAATAGAATGAAGATACCTAACCTTTTCATGTCTTCCACTCTCAATGGTCATGTCTCACAGCCATAAAGGAAGATAGAGCGAATTGCTGAACAGTATACATGTCCTTTGAACCATAGTCGCATATCATGTCTACACCAGAAATGATTTAAGTTGGCAAATGCCACAAAAGTCTTTTGTATTCGTGCCCAGATTTTGCCAGTGATCAGCCCGTAGGGGCCAATGCAACTTCCTAAATAGGCGAAGTGATCAATAGGCTCTACCACTTCACTCTATATCTCTAAGCTAGAAGTTGATTTATTCCAGTCCTGTAGGTTCACAACATAGGCATCACTGAGAAATCATCACGTCTTTATGGGCATACTTTTGGATCCACTGTCTTTGGTGTGGTGAACTCATTGTTCACTACATGGGAGTGCACTAAATGTAGTGTATTTTTCAAGGTGGCCATCATTCCACTTGTATGACTTCTCTATTCTGCAAACATGTTAAAAACAAATTCTCAAGCCTGTGCATTCTACTCGGTTCTTGGGTTTTCCTGTATTGAAAATCTTCCGAATACATATGCAGCTATGTAAATATAATTATTCTGGTCACTTCACTGTAGAATATCAGCTTCCATGTAATGTCGATCATTTGTATACTTTTAAAGATATGCTCAGAGTCCGATCATCGCTTATGTTTTTTTTATCGTATTTCCTCTGATTATGCTCATAATCCTTTCCTGTTACCAACGGTATATTCATCGCAACTCACTCAAGTAGCTAGCCAGAAATTGGGTGATTTGAACTCATTCGGCTCTACGAGCTGGATCAAACCGCGTACACCGTCGACGCGCTCGTCCCGCAGAGGAGCAAAATAGCTGTCCGGTGTTTAGATCACCTCGATTTGGCTAGTAAGCACTACTGTTTGATGAGAGTGGTGTACAACTATTAATCTCAGCCAATCAGAATTACATAATTTTATGCATATGGGTTACCCACTTGAAGCCCTCAGAAAAATGAAAATGAATGGTTGGGCGCTAGGTGATATGGATCAAAGTCGTCTACAATGGTGCAGATACGTTTGTTGAATAAGTTCTTCAAAATTGAGAATATTTTTACCAACCTCCATCCAACTATTGCTGCACACTTATGTTTTCTCATTATGGCATCATTTACTTTGTATTCTCTAGATTTTTGTATACTGTTAAGTAGTTTGTTAATTCCAGCTGGTGTTTATTCTGTTGTCAGTCAGGTAACATAATAGCTAATCGAGCGGAAATGAATAATCTGTAATTAAGAACTTAATGTAGTTAGTGTAAATTTTAACTTTTCTTATTTTTTATTTTTGTAGGTACCTGATTAAACTCTACATGCGTTCATCTTAATTACTTCCCCATTGAAAAGTCATCAAATCCAAATATAAGGTGGTCTTTTTAGAAAAAATGGATACTCTTGTTACTTATGATTCTTCATCCTCTGATGATGATATTCATAAACCAGATCCTCCCCCAGCTGGGCTTTTGAAGAGCAGCTTAATTAAATCAGTTGATGTTGCTCCAGTTGTGGAACATAAGGTAGAATTTTTTGGCTAAACATATGTAAAATTTCTAGGATGAATTTTTATCAATTATACCTGTTGATCCTAATACCCGTGAACTTGTTCATAATCCTACATATGAAGAGTTATTTGCACCATCCGTAAGTCACTTCCACCATGTAATTGAGATTTTTTGAACTATATTAGTTCGGCCCAGTTAATCCTTTCAAATCTGAAAAGCAGTTAGCACCCAAGAATACCTTAACGGGTTGTGTTGAAGAAGCTCATGTCAATATGTTTGCTTTCGAAAATCAACATCGAACATTTATGACATATGGTAGGTTGATGGTTTTTCATTCGAATTACAATAGGTTATGCTGAGGATCCATCTGTTGAAGGAGGTGCTGAGCGACGTTTGGTTGGCGAAACAGAAAAAATGTCCGAAAATGATGGTGAGTAATGTGAATAGTGTTTCATTTGGTTTTGTTTGTTTAAGTCCTTGATAATTCTTAACCAAAGTAATTCCTTCTTACTAAGTTTCTTATAACTTCACTTAACGATAGTTTCTTTTAAGGAGATGGAAAGTCATATGTAGAAGCTAGGAATTTAGGAAGTTAAAGGTTTAACTGTGCTTCCCTTGTCTTGTCTAGGTAGTTACTGAGCAGTCGGAACTCACCTACCTGGTACCTGGTCATGTGTCATGAGGGTTAATAATATTATCCAATTGCTGGGACTAAAGTAGGTGGAGGAAGATTCGATTTCAGGGCCTATTGATTGGAAGTCGAGCGCCTAAGCCAATGAGTTATATCTTCACACTTCCTTAATTTAAAATGGATCTATAGATTGAATTCGTAACAGTTCGAGGTGAAATTCTTCGTTATTTTAAAAATATGGAATTTATAGATTGCTTACAGGCGTTGGTGGTTTAGCGGTAGAACGCTCTCCAACCACGCACATGGTCCGGGGATCAACTCTCGGACGACACAGTCCTAAACCTCGCTAAGCCAATAGTAAGGCCGATACAGAGGAAAGGTTGGGTGTGGGGTTAGCAACTGCACCCCATAAAAATAAAAAATCACTGCTACCTAAGCTTCAAAGTTCTAACTTGATTCCCTATGCTCCACTTGGAACGTAAAGGAATAAAAAATTGTTTACAGTGTATAATTACTGCTCGATAGTGCGTACCTTAAAGGGCAGTTGGTTCTTTAATAGTGTTTAACTCTAAAGAATTCATACATCTCTCAAAGAAAAGGATAGTAAATAAGTTAGACCAATTCTGTGGCTCATTATTTCATCGCCGTTTTCAGGTACTCGAAAATAATCCATTTTTGCGCGTATATTGATTGTGATACTCGTTCCAGATTGCCATTTGGTTACTGAGTTTTAAAATATGAAATTCTCTGACTTCACTGTAAATATTTGGCATGTTTTTACTTCAGTGCAACTCATAATCTTTCGCAAGATTTTTCACTAGAAAACCTCACCATTTTAGTAGTGGTTTTCTAAGCAAATCCAACCAAAACTTGATTTAGGTCTATACTTAACTGTTTAAAAGTCAAGTGACTGGGGAAGCGAACTTCTGCTTTACTTGTACTTCAAGCGATTTTTTCTCTACGTCTTAGGCGTGACCTTACATCAAAACTCATGAGAAAATTCTGTCTTGTTTTAGCAATTTATTAGTGTATTTGTTTTATGAGGTTCTTACTCAGAAAGGTTGGTCGACTGATTTATGTGCTCAATATCCGGTCACTTGGTCAATGTTTTTCAAGCTTGTAGCATCGAGCAGTACTAGAACAGATGTGACTCATTGCTAAGTGCACAAAAATGCTCGTGATTTTTGAGTTAAATAGGATTCACAGTTCGCTGGATGTTAGCAGTCTTCCAACACAAGTGACTGTTATTCAAGTGTTTTTCTAATGAATATTCAAAATGGTTTAAAATCAGTTATTTTCTAGGTCAGGTTGAACGATAAAATTGGGACTGTACTTATTAATACCTAGAAAGCGTTTGATTTTGTCTTTATAGAGTTTCTGACTGTTGGTGTGAATTACTCACCTAAGTGTAGATTACTTGACTGGGTTCCTTGATGTATTAGGAAATATTCTTTGGAAACTTTGTATTTTGACCCAAAAGTCGAATAAAGTGGTATCTTACAATCTTCAAAATTTAGAACGTTTCAGTTATCTTTTATTGAATTACTTCTCTCATGTACAAGATGAATAACACAGGAAATTCAGGCTAGGCAATACTGAAACTAGATGTCTACTAACCTCAGCTTTGAAATTTTTTTATTCCTAATTTATTTTAGCATCCCCTATCAGTAAAATATCATCGCAGTACTTTTCAGTAAAAAAAGCTCATCTATTTAGTACTCTCATTTTAACTAATGAATTATCGACTCGAAATTTTTCGAGGCTACTGAAGTTTGTACAAGGATAGTGGTGTCATTAGTCTTCACAAAAGTTAAATATGGCTTGTTATTAAGAGTTTTAGTGATCTCCAAACTCTTTGAACTGAACAGCAGTGGGGAATGTGAACCAACTTTTCACCACTCGGTGTTTTTATGTGTTTTATGCAGCCAAATTATTACTTTTACACAAAGAGATGCAACTCAAAATAGTGTATCTATTGATGGTGTTAATGTGGAGAGTAAGAGCTACAGCATTTACTAAGTAGAGATTTGATTCTTATGATTGAATATAAGACCAGTTTTTCCACGATTCATAAATGAATTATAATTTATAGAATTTTAGATACTGTGTACATTTTACGTGTTATTTACTGACTTGACGATTTATCATTACGTATAGGCAAGACAGTATGTGAAAAACGCGAAAAACGTAAAGGTGATATACGTAAACGTGACAGTAATTGGGATCCAACAAGTGAAGACTATACAGGACCGTGGGCTAAGTATAAGGATGAAGTAACTGTTTCAGTGCCATCTGAAGAAGATCGTGTCTACTTAGAAGCTTATTTAGCTAAGAAAGCTAGTAAACGACGCGTTGTCGAAGAGGCGCCTGTTGAAGAAAAGTCTACACTACACATATCGACTCCATTCGATTATCAGGTAAGCATTCTCATGTTATCTTTTGTCATATAAGATGAACGTAACTCTTGCTCATTAATAGATTGGAAGCTGAGTAGAATATGTATAGGATCATAAATTACTACCGGGTGGTCCAGATTTAAATGGGTGAAGTGCAGCTTGAACTCGTGACCCTTTAGTTGAAAGTCAAGTGATTAAGCTGATGTGCACATAAGTCCTATAGGTCTAAAAGTATCTGATCACAATCATACACCTGTCTACGTGTAATGGGAAAGATATGTGAAAAATATTGACGTTAGATGTAAAGTTCTAGGTAATATTGGGTCAGATTTTAAACCTCCATTACCTAAAGTAGAAGAGACATGCCCAGCGTCTTTCCCACTATGAAATACTAGATGAAATATGGTCAGCTTTAAGAGAAAGTTGGCTGTGGTTGTGTCAGCTGCAAAGGTAGTTAACTTTTGGCTTGAGTTTTGTTAAGAAGCGTAAGTTGTCAGGTTTGAATCCACGTTACAGACTACATGACACCGGTTCAGAATTTAACGCAGTGGCACAGACGCATACTTGTATTCTTCTTCTTATTGTTCCCTTTAGTTCCTAGAGGAACATAGGGCTTCAGTCGCACGTCTCCATTGTGTTAGGTTCTCCGCCAACGTTTTCATCTATCTCCACGTCTGCCCAAATGCTTTCATCTCCTCTTCGCATGATCTCCTTCATGTCACCTTCGAACTGACGACCAACTCACCGCTTTCCATCCAGGTTCCACTCGGGCGATGGCCTTGCATGTGATGTCACTTGATTGTTTTCTCAGAGTATGTCCAATCCACCTCCATTTCGTCCTGCATATTTGTTGCACAATTGTTTCCTGCCGGTTTGGTTCGCTCCCAGAGATCCCTGTTGCTGGTCTTTTCCGGCCATCTAATCTTGCATAGTAGTATTGAGCGAAGACAGCTGTTAATGAAGGTCTGTAACTTGTTCGAAGTGCCCTTCGCGCCGCGCCAAGTCTCTGATCAGTATAATAGCACTGACCACACTGGAGTTGAAAATCAGAATCTTATTTCTCATGCTGATTTCTGTTGATCTCCATACAGATTTGAGAGTAATGAAAGCTTGCCTTGCTTTCCCGATCCTCATCAGTTCCGTCCGCTTGTAGTTGAAACGATGCTTCCCAGGTACGTTAAGAAGGTTGCTTCTTCCGAATTTCTCCCATTTGTGCTGATTGTTGTCTGTTGTTGTTGCTGTTGTCCAGGAATCTTCGTCACCACTGTTTTCTCTTTGCTCACTATCTTTGATGCTTCTTCTATCACCAACTTGTTGCTTTTCACTTGCATATCCTCCAGTTTGTGGGAAATCAGACGTATATCATCGGCGAAATCCAGATCCTCCAAATTTTTTGTTTGGGTCCATTTTATGCCTGTCTCCTCATTGCCCACTGTCTGTTGCATTATCTAGTCTACCTCAAACAGGAAAATCATTGGCGATAGTAGGCAGCCAGCTTGTCTTACTCCCGTCCTCACTTCGAAGGATTCCGTGAGTTTCCCGTTGAGGATTACTTCGCATGCAGCATTGTCTTACAACTGTTGGATGAGTTGTATAATTGTTAGCGGCACCCCGTAGTAGCGGAGTAGTTCCCGAATCACCTCTCGGTCGACTCTGTCGAAGGCCTTTTCAAAGTCGATGAAGTTGAGGTAGAGAGCTGATTGCTATTCCAAGCTCTGTTCAGTGATAATACGTAGTGTTGTGATTTGATCGATGCATGACTTCTTTCTCCTAAATTCAGCCTTTTCGGGTCTAAGTTTTTCATCCAGGGTGTGTTTGATTCTCTCCAGGGTGATGCGGGATAGTATTTTGCTTGGGATAGACAGGAGTATAATGCCACGCCAATTCTAGCATTGACTTACGTTGAGTGCTAGGTAAGGCGGGGAAATCAATAGACGAGACTGTGAAATTACATCGACTGAGATGGTTAGGACATGTGCTACGTATGCCTAGTCATCGCCACCCTCGACGGGTAATGTTAGCTGATATAGGGCCAGACTGGAAAAGAGCCAGTGGTGGTCAAACCAAAACCTGGCTTCATCAGCCAATGAAATCCACAACAGTTAGTTTAAACCACGTAGGAAGGTGTAGACTTCCTGATTGGGGTCCTCGGGACGGTAAAAACCAGTGGTTGGAAACAATTGGTGACATGGCTCAAAATCGTTGTCAATGGCTGGTGCAGATGCATCCACTCCTTGTGACTCATGATTTCCAATGAAACTGTTTTGTTCTTCGTTATTACTATTCCTTTGTCTCACACCTCTGTTTACTGTCTATATTATTATGCATTTCTCCTACTTTCTTCTCTTGCTTTGTGTGCTACATGGAGTGTGGCGACGTGAACTGCCGCACATATGTGCAAAATTCTATGTCGAAAACCGACCGACCGATTGATTGACTTACATTTCCTTTCGTGGCAGTTTGAATAGGTAGCCTTTCATCCAATTCGTAGGTACCTTACCATCTTTCCACATCTTCAGTAGTGGTTTCATCAAGTCTTCTGATGTCTCTGGGTCCATTTTCAATGCTTATGCAGGGATTCCGTCTGGTCTTGCTGCCTTTCTAGTTTTTAGCATCTTTAAAGCCTTCAGAACTTTTGCTTTCGTCGGAGGATTGATGTCCACTGGTAATTCTACTTCAGCTGTCGGTATTATTGGGCGCGTTGTAGGTGGTGGTCGATTAAAAAGCTTTTTGAAGTGTTCAGTCCAATGTTTCCTTTGCTCCACCTGTTTGGTGATTGACTTTCTTCACTGACTTAATTTTTGCTGATTTCTTCCCCGATAGGAACCTAGTTGTTTGGTAGAGTGTTACGAGATCTCCTTTGCCTGCAGCTTGTTCTGCTTCACTTGTCATAGCTTCGTACTATATTCTTTGTCTTCCCTAGCATTTTTATTTACTCTTTTGTTCAGTGTATTTTAGCTTGCATTCAACTCCTGTTTTCGTTGCTCGTCGATGTACTGGATGGTATTTTGTTTCACCATCCTTCTTTCTTCTATTAGTCTCCATGTTTATGTAGTGAGCTACTGTTTGTCCTGTCTCTTCTTCTTATTACTTTTTTACTTTACCTCAGGAGCTTCCCCTGAGGTAGCCCGGCACAACATACAGTTAGTTGTAGACACAGCTGTAAAAGCTGTTAATAACATAAAACCAAAAGTTAGTAAGAGCCATTGGATTTCTACCACCTCATCCGAACTGGTTGACTCAAGAAGACTGATCCCGGGGAGCTCCGATTCTGATGAAGAGCGAAAGCTACTCAAACACAAACTAACAAGAAAACTTCGTAACGACCGTGAGCAATGGTGGATGACAAATGCGAAAGAGATGGAAAAGGCATCGGCTATTGGTAACACCAGACAACTATTTATACTCATCAGGGAGACAGGTGGTGAAAGGCAAACAATAAGTGAAACAATCCCTGAGAAAAGTGGCACTATAATTAGTTCCCAGGATAGACGACTTGAACGCTGGAAATAACACTTTGAGGAGCAGTTTAATTGGCCTACAGCCGCACTCAACTTACCGAACATGGGATATAGACACAGGTCCTCCGTCCCTAACTGAAGTTACTAAGGCTGTCACTGATCTGAAACGAGGCAAAGCAGCAGGACGCGGTGGAGTGACTCCAGAGTTATTGAGGTACGGTGAAGACAGTTGACTGTCTGCATTAACTAGAGTACTAGGCGGCGTTTGGGAATCAGAGGAAGTCCCGTCGGGTCGGTGTAAGTCAAGTTATCCCGAAGGGGAGACAAGTCTTCCTGTGATACTCACGGGGAGATTAGCGTGACTAATATGGTATCTAAATTTCCAGACTCACTAATCATGCTTAGACCAAGCGGTCCGCGGGAGGTACAAATACTTTAAATGTTTTCATCTGTCTTATAGCATCCTGCAACCTCTGTTTGCACGAGTGTCGTGTCTAACTTTACACTAACATTTCCTTGATTTGAAGATATAAGTTGTAGTGATCTGGTTTGTTATGCAGGGGTGGTAAATATTTATTATTCTCGATTTTGCACTGGAGTGATTGAACGTGTAGTTGTCTTCAGCTCTATATTCACTTAGAATCATTTGAATTTTTACTAACAGGTGAAGTATAACTGAGGTATCATCTTGCTCGAAAATCTTTACTTCGTCCTCATCCAAAAAAATTCGTGACGGTGTGTAATAAATCCTACCTAGCAGTCAAAATCAGCATTATCAGTAACATTTCTATATTTTTGAGCCTAGCTACTTTCACACTGTTCTCACCAGTTGAGAACATTAATATTACAGAGGGAGGTGGAGGTGTTATTCATTGATTTACGTACTGTACTTACAACCAATGGGTCTAAGGAGATTTAGTCATTTTTGTGTAAAGCATTAAATTTCTTTGATTTCCTTTTATTCTGTTTTAATAGGGACGAAGCTTTTTGCATGCACCACATGATATTCCTAATGTCAATCTTCGAGCAACTGATCCCCCAGAAAGATGCTTTTTACCTAAGAAACAAATTCATGCATGGGTCAATGCACATGCTCGTGGAGTTGCTGCTGTTCGACTATTTCCTCAGACAGGTCATTTGATGTTGTCTGCTGGGATGGATACAAAGATAAAGGTAAGAGGTGTACAAGCACACTGTTATTTTTGTCTTTTAATATGATACTTGGTTACTCTTTAACGGATTTCGCTTCGTGGTGTAACTTGAAGTTGCTCAAATACCTGGAAACCAAAATTAAATGAAGTAATTTGATGGGATGCATATTTACTTTTTTTGAGGTGTGGCATCGAAGTAAGTTTGGAATAACTTATCATGTTGATTTAAATGCTAAACATTATTCGATTGGGAGTTGTGAACTAAATGTAAGAAAACACTAGATGCATCCAAAGTAAAGGTCATCAATAGATGTGGTCAGGATTACATGCATACATTGAGTCTAGACTATAGGGTTAAGTCAATGATGATGGTGGAACTTTTGGCCTCTGGAGATTGATAAGTCGGCAATCAAGGTAAACCGCCGATCAAACCCAACAAATCTTTTCAGGTAAGTCGTTGAATAAAAAAACATGGCCACAGAGTGGTTCATTCGAAGAAAGGAAACTAGTTCATAACGCAACTTCATTTAATTTGAGAAGTTTTACTGAAGAATTTCCCAGTCCGTTGGTAAAAATGATCAGTCGATTTAAATTCAAGTTGGGTATGCTGTTATAAATGTACATGGGATTCCCCTTGAGATCTCTCTGATGAAGATGTTCAGCACGATATTTAAAGGGGTTCCATCGGAATCCACAGCTTAGGGGGCAACTCAGTGTAAACGCGTTAAACGTCGCCTCTTAACAATAAGCTTAGAACATTTCATTTTCTCTTTCTACAATATATTCATAAATTGTCGAAATTGTACGATATTTTTCATGTTTTAGAAAGAATAGTCTGTTATCTCCGTTTTGTGGGAATTCAGCGCACAACTCTTTCCCCTTTTTAGTCACTGCAGGAGTATTATTTCACAGTTTATATTTATTACTAAGAATCTGACTTCATAACTACTGTTTAGTTATAGGTGACAATAACCATAAGTGGACATATGTTCTGTAGATACTTTAAAAATAAGTGTTTGTCCTGCTTTTTAACCGAGAACAAATTGTGACTGAAAATGAACATCCAATGAATGTAAAAATCAAAAAAAACATTGGACAATTATTTCATACAAATTTGTCACCATGTAGCAATTCCTACTTCATATTCTTTATGGGATAAAAAGTTGGATCCGTCATATTTTAAAGAGATAAGTGCTGGAAAGGTCAGGTATATTGGGTTTTGACTCATTGTCTGACTCTGTGGTGACTTTTGCGTATAGTTGTGAATGAAATGGTAGATTTTATGGTGTTGAAGTGTCAGCAACTAGAATGAAAGATCTTTCCAGTTAGTATGTCAGTTATTTCATAGGCAATTGTGATTTGTGATCAAAAGAAAGTACTTCATAATCTAATAATCTTGCATAGAGTTCCTAATCGATTTATCCTTTTCCCTTTAAATCAAGCTATGGGAGTTGTACAAAGAACGCAGACTTATTCGAAGTTATATGGGCCATCGTCAAGCTGTACGTGATGTATGCTTTAATAATAATGGTACATCTTTCTTGAGTGCATCATATGATCGTTATGTTAAATTATGGGATACAGAAGTTGGCAAGTGTACAAATCAATTCAATTTGAAACGTGTTGCCTATTGTGTTCGCTTTAATCCAGATGATGATAAACAGCATCTCTTCTTAGCTGGGTGTTCAGATAAAAAAATATTATGTGTAAGTGAAGGAGTATGTGTTTTATTTCACCCTCTATTGTCATAGTTATTTTTAATTGGTGTGAAGTTCTTAATTTAATTCATAGCAAGTATATGTAGGAGTTTAAAATCAGGTATATTTGTAAGTTATACAGTTGGAGGTGAAATTTCACATCCACTTCTTTGGGAAATATTGTTATGACGGGGTGATAGTGAGTTGTGGGTTCGTTTGGCTTGATTAGAATGCACCTCCGGAACACCAGCTGGTCACTTGGAATTATCTCCCACACTGAGATAGAACTGGAAAGACGATGACTCTAACGACTACAAGTTTATAAAACAAAATACATGGTACCTTATATTAACAATACCTCAGAAGTTTTAGCCATAACCTAGGCAAATCTGACTGGTTGTATGACCTCAGAAAGTTACTTCATAAATAAACGAACGAAAACTGTCCAGTAAGGTTATCATATCAATACATGCATACGTCATTACTTCACGATTAACAAAGGAGCGTGTCCGTCCTGATTAATATAAAATATATTGGGAGAAAATAGGCTATTAGGTTATGATTCGGTGGCCAAAACTGTGTGGTCTCCGTATGAGGTTGTGATTATGCACTTCTGGAACAGTAGTCACAAACGAAAACGAAGTATGCCCTCAGTACTCCTTTATTTTTATTGGTTCTGTAGCTGATGTAGACCTGTTTAGTTTTCACAAATCTCTTAATCAAATGACCTGATTGCATTGGTTACTTTCATGTTTGTTGCCTTTTATATGTACACCAGTCACTAAGTATTTATCCCTTTCCGTATACTTTGTTCTCCTGTTTTGCTCTGTGAAAAAAAATCAATGCAACAGTACGATACACGTAGTGGTGAAGTTGTTCAACAATATGATCGTCATTTAGGCGCAGTGAATGCAGTTGCATTTGTTGATAATAATCGTAGATTTGTATCCACATCAGATGATAAATCTCTACGTGTTTGGGAATGGGATATACCTGTAGACTTTAAGTATCTTGCTGATCCATCTTTACATTCAATGCCAGCTGTCACTGTATCACCAAACGGTATGTTAAAATATCCTGAGTACTTTTATTTACTTTTAAGCATATTTGCTATTGTATTTGATGCTTGTTGTTAGAGTATTTTTGTTTACACATAGCCGTTAGTGTTTTAGAGTTCGAACCCCATTACCAACCACTAATATTTGAATAGTCAAATAGTATCGTCATCTCTTGTACAATAGATGTGACTACTAGTCATACACATTTGTGTGTTAATGGGAAGTGAGTGTTAACATATTGGCGTAGTGACACACACACACACAAATGGTTTAAGTGGTAGTCCACCCTCTTTAGAAATACCTTGATTTGATGACTTTTGTGCATTTGCTATAAATAAAATATTGAGTTAGGTAATATTTTCGATTGTTTATTATTCACGACTTACTTATTTTCCATACCATGTACTGTGTTCTAAATCTAATCTTAGTGTGGTTGATAGCTGCATTAAAAGGAAAAAGAAAAAATGGGTAGACTGCGACGCTTATTCAAGCTCCTAGCAACATGTTACATGATTATCTGAAAGCTAGTAACTCTGTTAGGTTGTTCAAAATTCGTTCAGTTACCAAATGGCATTTAAACGTGGTCCACTGATTTGAAGTTGTGTAACTAAACCGATAACACAGCTCCATTAGTCAATAGTTTGTTTGTATGAATTGAGTTAGCCAGAACGGGTATTTCAATGTACCAGACTAAGCCATACTTACCGTGTGATGGATGATTATGCTGTTCACTTCCCAAACAGAATTGGGTGGAGTGGGATGCATGATAATCTACATTTTTTGTCACAAAAATCGGGTGGTGGGTTCATCATCATCTTGGGCCCCCAAATTTCCCTATGGTATCAGTATAAAAATCTATTGGGATTAAAAATAGACAGACGTGTAGACAGGAAGAAAAAGTAAATAAAGGCGATATTAGAGTGTTTATAGAAGAAAAAACTGAGTGGACCATGAAAAGACTGAAAATTTAAAAGGCAGTAGGGTAAAGTAAGTATACTTCTGCCATTGTAGTGGTTGCTGAACCATTCCTTAAAGCATCTGAACATGAGTTCCAACCAACCTTCATCGATGGTGTGAAACGTAATTGAGTAAATTCTCTTCTCTACCTAGAAGTCTACATTATCCATTCTACAACTCCATAACACATGAATAATGCTAGTAGGATGTTTATGATTAGCGATTTGTAATCCTCGTTAACCTTTCACTCTCAGCGGTCATGTCTCACAGTGATAGTGTAAAACAGAAAGGTTACATCACTAACGAACGTGCAGACAGACAGTAAATAAAACTTCTCTAACTGAAACATTGTTTCAGAGCTGTGTAGAAGCATTTGTAACTTTAATGCAATCACATTAAATTTTGTGCGTGCGCTGTTTAGTTTGTAAAAGCTTACATTCCATAGCTTAAGAAACTAGAGTTTTAGCAAGAAAGGTCTGACTCTTCATTTAGTCTCCACCATTAAAAGCTAAAACATGTGAAGTAAGACTTCATGGCTTTAAAAAAGTTGGACTTGTGTGTAGAAGTCCATTTTCACTGGACAACGTATCTTCTCTAAATCAGCCGAAGTAGTTTATTGGTCAAGGAGCTTGACCTCGTAACCAGAATATCACGGGTTCGACCCTTGGTGTGGCCATGGTTGAGTACTGATGAGGAGTCCCGAACTGGGACGAAACAGCTATCCAGTACTACTTAATTTTCAATTTTCTGTAACTGGTGCTGGTTTATAACTAAATCTTCACTGAAATTATTCTTTATCTCTACAAAAGCCCATAGTCTAAGTTTATGTATCGTTATTTTAATTATCTGAGATAGCTTTTGTTTGATAGTCTTGTTTAGTACAAAATGGTGGTGATTAGAGTTAAAACAAGAACTTACATTGTGGCAGGCTTCATAATATCAATGGGTTAACTGTTCAATCTTTTACCAACCGAACTATGAGATCTGATCGCTCATCATGTATTAATTTCACTTCAGCCACTGAGGTTTTCGCAAAATTGTCAGAAGTGAATAAGTGGTACATCGCCGTGCGTACATCTGACTCATAATTGGAATCAGGATATGAAGATATTGCCAGATAGGCAGCGATTGTCATGATAAACAGATAGTTACATTTACTCACATAACTGAGTGAAACACTGTATAACCTAAGTGAAATTAAAGCTTAGTGAGCACTGTATTCCCTCTTCGCACCAGTCAGTACAATGTCAGACTGGTTTTTCTAAGGCTGTTGAAGCAAATCTTCCTGTGGATTCCCATGTTTTCTGTTCAGCTTTAATCATTATCTTATCACAAATATCGTGTTACTTTGCTCAACAGGGAACCACACTTATTTCATGAGTGCCAGTTATCATATATATCAGTTCAAGATTCACTTTATCGGATATTAGGTTTGGAATCTACTAGTTGAACCATAGGTCCGCGTCTCCTGCTTAATGAATTTAATAAACCAACATTTCGAAATTTTACTAGCGTTTGTTTAACCCCATTTTCAAAAAGGAAAAAGAGTAAATAAATAAACATCATTGTTTTAACCGTTTCAGGAAAATATTTGATATGCCAGTCGCTTGATAATCAATTAGTTGTTTTCAATATATTTGCTGGTTTCAAACGTATGCGAAAGAAAATATTTCGTGGTCATATGGTATCAGGTTATGCATGTACAATGGATATGTCACCAGATATGCGTTATGTAATCTCTGGTGATGGTGATGGATATCTGTGCTTATGGGAATGGAAGACAACAAGACTTTTAACAAAATGGAAAGCACACGAAGGTGTATGTATCAATTGTGCTTGGTTGCCGCATGAAACATCGAAAGTGATTACCGCTGGTTGGGATGGAGATATTCGTCTTTGGGATTGATAGAATGTATTTAAACAGAGAATATATTCGTTTTTCTACAGTTTATATAAAGTTACATGATGTACATATTTTCCAGTAATAAATCTGTTAATCTATGCTCAATTGACGGTTTTCTTGATTAGCGACCATAGAGTCAGTTCTAATCCTTTCTAAGAGTTCTATTAGATCACGTTGTTACACAGTGTGGCAGCTCAGGGAGTAAAGGTGGATAGAAATAGAATGTTACGAAGGGAGTAAACTCTTGAGTGTTTTCTGAACTGAATCGCCTAATTGAGAAGCTCTCACTTTTATCCCAGCTGGTTAATTAGGAGTTTCCAGAGATTTAGTTATCACTTTATTCACTTTTGTTTTTGTTGACTACTTCTTTGGCTTGTTATCTGACGTTTTGATCATGCGATTCGTAATTTACATCTTGGCAGTGATTTTAGTGGTGTTCTTCATACTCTAAGAGGGGTAATTGTCCTTCAGTTCACTCCGGATAATCTGATTCGTCGATGAATATCTTAACTTCAGAATCTGTTCACATTTCACACCAAGTCAACTGTAAAAGTTCTGTGAACTAACTCAGTGCTTAATGGTGCAACCTTGAAAAATTCAACTCCAAACCTATACGGTCTTACTACTAAGCAATGCAAGTTAGCATGATGGTAGCCATTTGGTTGTCTGATCCTTTTTGAGTTGTTCGATAGCTGTAGATCAGATATAGTCACTAGAGAAAGTGGGACGTAACTGTTGTCTGTTAAATTTCATTTCTGTTTTGATATTATGTGCTGAAAGGATTTGATCTGCGGAAGGTAATATTCTCACTGAATAGCATTCTGTATACTGTTTAGTGGGCTACAACAAATCGGCAGCTTGGGTATGCTTCGATGTGTACCAGTTGACTGTCGATTGTCAAATAGGCATAATTCAGCATGTATACTAAGTAACACACCGTTCACAAAGTTTTTATGACTTCTCGCTAGAAGACAGCAGAATTGAAGTGTGGGATATTCGTCACTACCTTCAATTTTCAGCTCCGTCTGATAATGTATCGAGCTACTGAATCGTCTAGTCTCAGAGCTACCTTCACCACAGCATAACAAATGAAACCATTTGTGACCAGATTTTTAAAATTATTATGTCATTCTTCCAAGTGGAACGTAGAGCTTTGAAGTTTCGGTGGCAGTGGTTTTCTATTTTTATGGGGTGCATTCGCTAGCCTCACGCCCAACTTTCCTTCTGTATCGGTATTGCTGCCGGCCTAGCGAGGTTAAGGAGTGCATTCATAGGAGATCGAACCCTTGGCTGGATCAGCATCACTGTATATTTCTCAGGTTGATAACTATCAATATACCATTAGAAATATTAATGACTTTATACCAGAGAAGTTCTATTCGTTGGTACTTAAGATATTTGATATCTAAAAGTATTGAGGAATATGTCAGTATTTTTCTGCTCGCTTTTAAGAAATGGTGCTTCTAGTTAGAGAAGTTTTATTATTATGGATTGGTTGACTGTGGGAAGTTAAATAGTTTTGTACCCATTTGTCAAAATTCAATCTGCATGGTATTCATGACCACGTTGGCTAAATGTGCGCTTAGTATGCATGATGTTTCGCTTCTTCGCATGAACAGATACGTGTGCAAATGCAAATTTGTGAGGGATATCCACCTTCTCATAAAACTTCGTCGATGGTTTCCTACAAAGTTCACTCGGATTATTCGGAAAATTTGCAACTGTGATCTTCAAAGAAAGGTACTAATTCCTTAAAGCGCTACTTTGCACTACTTTTTCTTTGCTTTTCTATTTTCTGACTTAATTTAGAAAGCTGCTAGGTTGAAAATATTCATTGTCATCGCTTCAACTACTTCAGCTTAGTAATTCTTTATACCGTTCATGACTAATTAAATGCAACCAGTATTTTCCTACTAGGCTTTAAATTGAACTGTAAATGCGTTATTAGAGTGAATATTCAGGTTATATGTCTTGCAGGGATTTGGATTAATGTCAGTGTAGATTTTATTATTATTATTATTGTTCCCTTGGGTTCCTAGTGGAACATAGGGCTTCAACTGCACGCCTCCACTTGCTTCTGTCTTGTGCTGTACTTTTCACTTGCATCCATGTTAATCCATACTGTTTCAGTTCCTCATCACACGATCTCCTCCATGTCACCCTTGGACGTCCCACTCGCCGCTTCCCTTTCGGGTTCCACTCGAGGGCCTGACGCGCGATGTCAACCAACGGCCTCCTCAGCGAGTGTCCAATCCATCTCCACTTTCTCCTGCATATTTGTTGGGCGATTGGTTCCTGTTTTGTTTGTTCCCATAGCTTCTTGTTGGTGATTCTTTCCGGCCATCTGATCTTCAGTATAGAACGAAGACAGTTGTTGATAAAGGTTTGCAACCTGTTGAAAATATTCTTGGTGACCCGCCAAGTTTCTGATCCGTATAGAAGAACTGATTGACTTGACGTTTGTATTGAAAATCCGAATTTTGTTGTTGATGCAGGCTGAGTGACGAAGATTTCCAGATTGGTTTCAGGTTGATGAATGTGTTTCTCGCCTTCCCGATTCTCGATTTGACATCCTCGTCCGTTCCTCCTGTAGTTGAGACAATGCTCCCTAGATAAGTGAATGAAGTAACCTCTTTCAAATCCTTCCCGTTGATGGTGATTGGCACTGGATGTTGCTGCTGTTGTTGTTGTTGGTTGGTTATTTTCATAACCTCCGTCTTGTCTATGTTCACCTGGAGTCCTGTCTTTGCTGCTTCTTCGACCAGTTTGTCGGTTTTCGCTTGTAAGTCTTCGATTTTGTGTGACATCAAACATAAATCATCCACGCGCGAAATCCAGGTCTTCTAGGTTCTTCACGTCGGTCAAGGATATCCCTGTCTTCTCGTTTCCCACTGTCTGACGCATAATCCAGTCCACCACAATTAGGAATATCATTGGTGATAATAAGCACCCTTGTCTGACTCCTGTGTTTACTCCAAACGCTTCGCTGAGTTTCCGTTGTGGATCACTTGACATGTGCCGTTGTCGTACAGCTGTTGAATAAGGTTGATGAATATTTGGGGTACGCCGTAGTACTCGAGTAGTTTCCAAATTACTTCGCGGTCAACGCTGTCGAAGGCCTTCTCAAAGTCTATAAAGTTGAGGTAGAGATTTGATTGCCATTCCATGCTTTGTTCGATGATGATGCGTAGAGTTGCAATTTGGTCAGAACATGATTTGCCTTTCCTGAATCCAGCTTGTTCTGGTCGGAGTTCTGTATCCAGTGCGTCCTTTATTCTCTCCAGGATGATGCGACTCAGGATTTTACTTGGCGTCGACAGGAGCATGATTCCTCGCCAGTTCTTGCAGAGTCCTAGGTCGCCCTTCTTTGGTAGTTTCACGAGGTAACCTTTCCTCCAGTCAGTAGGCACCTTTCCCTCCTTCCAGACCTTTTGCAATAATGGAGTCAGCATATCTGCTGTCGTCTCTGGGTCCGCTTTCAGTGCTTCAGGGGGTATTCCATCTGGTTCAGCTGCTTTTCCAGCTTTCAGAAGCTTGATTGCATTCATGACTTCAGTTTTCGTTGGAGGGTTGGTGTCAACTTGCAGTTGTGTACGTGCTGTTGTTGGTATTTCCGGACGGGTTGTAGGTGGTGGTCGGTTCAAGAGTCCTTTGAAGTGGTCCGCCCATTGTTTAATCTGTCTTTCTTCTTTGGTAATTGGGTTCCCTTGGCTGTCTTTTATAGGTTTCACTTGTGTTGATCTCTTCCCGGATAGAGACTTGGTTATCTGATATAGTGTCCTCAGGTCCCTTTTGCCTGCTGCCTTCTCAGCTTCAGTAGCCAGGTTGTCGTAGAATTGTCTTTTGTCCTTCCTGGCACTCTTCTTCACTTCTTTGTCCAGTGCTGTGTAAGTTGAGCTCAGCGTCTCTTTCTCTTGTCCGTCTTTGCATTGAATCATTTTCTCTTTCACCATTCTCCTCTCCTCTATTAGCTTCCAAGTGTCCGTTGAGAGCCATTCCTTGTCTTGTCTCTTCTTTCTTCCTAAAACCGTTGAACACGTTTCGTTGAAAATTACCTTCAGAGAGTTCCAATGGTCTTCCACGGATGATTCCTCGGTGGTGCCACGTAGTGTTTCCTGCTTTGCTCTGACAGTTGCAGTGAAAATGTCCTGTGTGATTGTGTCCTTCAGTTTTTGCGTGTTGAACTTACACTGTGGCCTATCCCCAGGTATCCTCGAGGCTTTCAGCTTCACCTTGAAAGTCCCTTGTACTAGGTAGTGGTCTGAACCCACATCTGCTCCCCTCCTCGATTTTGTGTCCAGTAGGCTCCGTCTCCACTTTCTTGAGATTGAAATGAAGTCTATCTGGTTTTTGGTGTGTCCATCTGGTGAAATCCAGGTCGCCTTGTGTATATCCCTGTGTTTGAACACACTGCCACCAATCACCAAATCATTGAAGGCGCAGAAGTCTGAGAAGAGTTCACCATTTTCGTTCATTTCACCGAGGGCCTCACGACCCATGGTGAGTTCTCTTCCTGTATTGTCTCCTCCCAGTTTCGCATTCATGTCACCCATCAGGATTTTGATATCGCTCTTTGGGACGTTGTCCATTACTGTTTGTAGTTGACTGTAGAAATCCTCCTTCTTCTCATGTTCTGAGACGTTTGTAGGCGCATAGCATTGAATGATTGTAACCTTCTTTCCTTTTGAGTTGAACCTGGCTGTCATTATCCTGGAGGAGATTGGTTCCCAATGCATGAGAGCCTTAGCCGCTGTTGGTGACATCATGACGGCTACTCCCTCGGTGTGCTCGTGATCGTCCTCTGGGTGACCGGAGTAGATTATTGTCTCTCCAGCTGGTAGTTGGCACCTTCCGCATCCGTTCCATCTGCTCTCGCAGATTCCCAACACTTCTTTTCCATATCTCCTCATTTCTGCGGCTACCTGAGCAGCCTTTCCAGTTTCGTACATTGTACGAATATTCCACGTCCCCATCCTTATTTTTACTTTCATCGAAAGAAGGTACATCGGCTGACTGGCTTCCCGAAGGCTTTCACCAGCCTGCGTCATTTCACTTCCCCGATTCCAGCGAAAAATAAGGTTAGTGTTTGTACTTTTAGAATTTTCAATATATTTGTGCGTTGAAGTTTTAGTAGCAATTTGGTTACGTTTTGGGGGTGGAGTTGCTAGCACCACTCCCCAACCCTCCCTCTTTATCCGGGCTCGGGACTGGCTAGAATACTAGTGACCTAGTAATCTAGGCGAGGTTAGATTTTATTACTAACTAATGTTATTTAGAAAATCACTGAAAACCAAATATCAGTGGACATCTGCTTCCTGCTAGTTAGGTATTATTCCACAGTGTTCACCAACGACTTTGCCGCAGATCAGACCCGGGAACTTTAAGGTTACAAGGCCAGTGGTAGTGGTATACCACGAATCGACGAAGTAAGGATCCACGGGTCACTGAATTCTGGCTCGAGTAGCTGAATTTTCAACGAACAGGACTATTAAACTGGAGGTTCCCGCTCTGATCCCTGGTAGGTTGCATACTGATGAGGAATCCCAAACTAGGACGAGACAGTCATTTGGTGCTCGTTGGATTTCAGCGACTCTTACTGATGTTGGTTCGTGACAAAAACTACATTATAACGACTATCATACTTAAAATTCAGTTGTTCAGGAATGGGATAATTTTCAGCTGCAGCTGTACGGAAATAAGAGAGATTATGGCCATACAATTCATATAAAGATTAGCAAATAGAGATACAAAGGCCTTAAAATACCGAGAGTGTCTCTTCTGCAGTTCCCAGTGTGGAAAACACCGAATAATAATTAAAAATGAAAGTACAATATATCTGAAAGCCTAATTATCTCCTACAGTAAAATTGTTCTATGACGTTTACTACTCATAATTTTGTAAGTAGCTTGTATGGGTAGGGATAAAAATGAGTGGATGTAGTTCGACGTTGAAACGATTCATGGAAATGTGCATTTATGAAAAATAAGAAGTTCTAAACTAGCAGACCAAAAAGTTAAGCCACCGGATTATTCAGGAGTTAGATAAGTGTTTATAAAGCGACCTAGCGTGTGGGCAAGGACGAAGCTTTTGGTGCAGAATAGCGGCTATGCTGATTGTTGCCTCACGGTGAATACAAAATAAATACAAACTAATGTTTTGCCACTTAATAAGCTTAATTGATGTATTGCGGTTAATAAAGAGAAGCTATGGACCAGATTTTTCACTGAATTACATGATCCCATGTGGCTGAAGAAACAGTGGATTCAAAAATCACATCCTACCAATCACAACTATGGTGATAATGTTTGAAGTTGAGGTTAAGACTTAAGTTTTGACTATATATGAACCACAAGCATTCATTTTAACATTTTGGCAGTATATAGAACACCTTATTTGCCAGTCTTACTGACTCACTAACTTATCGAATGAGAACTGAAACCATGGTGTATAGATTTAAGTCGATGGCTTTTTTCATGATGCAGCCGAATTATCAATACATTATCTGGATGACACGCTTGTAATTCTAAGCATGGAGCAAGTTGAAGATAAATTCTGACTAACAGTGCCCATATAAAGATCACCTTATTTGCAGCAAGGCCGACAGCTTATCAGTTCAAGCTCATTCCATGCATTTGTTATAATAATACTGTAGCGAAATTTTAATCATCATGGCTATGGGTAAATAACTCTCAGAGATTAACTAGCTAAATATAATAGCAATTACCTAGAACTACATAAAAAGACTTATTAAAGAAGGCTATTTAGCAGAAGTGAGAAACACTTGAAGACATCAATTCACTCAACGTCATGTACCTGAATCAGAATAGGCCAAAAGAAGGAAGATGTCCACTCCATCGTAAATCAATGAAGTAGCGAGTATATCTCACTCTGAGTTATTCTTTTTCGGTGTGAAAATATGAATATATATATATATATATATATAGCGTGGTGGTTGGTGCCATATTCCCGTGGTAATCATTCCTATTACTCCTGATTCTTTTGAATATTTCATCACTTAAATTTTCTACAGATAATAATGTCTCTCCATGAAAAGAATCCAAAAAACGTGTGCTGTCTAGTGGTCCCCAGTAAATCATGTAAAAGCTTATAGAGAGTTTTCATCAGTTATTTTTATCAGGAATACCTAGTCATCATTGCATTTACTTTTATGCCTGGTGTATTTACGAAAATGAATCTTTCTAATTGGTAGTTCTGTGGACCATGTATTCTGCCTGGAGATAAGCTTGTTAATTCAGAATACTCAGTGCATATGGCCTTGTCAAAGGGATGTGCTGGTGAAATTCATTTGAACTCGAAACGCTAAAATTCAGGTATGTTTTATAGTTTTTCCCATTTTATATTGAAGGACTAGTTGCACTGACTGCAAACTAGGAGTACAGGGAATGAAGTTATCAAATAACTTGGTTTTATTCTCATAGTTGAGTGGTATTATGCTTAGTTTACTGATGGACAAGTTTTCTGTTTATAAATGTGTTAAAGCCATATGACAATTCATGTTGAAACTAGAGGTGGACCTCTAAATAATTGAGATATGTTGGCTACTACGGTAGTCTGTGATTGTTATTATGAGTAATGTAGGTTCGCAGGATTGACTATCCGGTTTCGAAGATCTAATGATTTGGATGGCATATTCCGCAGTTACTCATATCGGTTCATACGTATACACTCCTTACCACTGAAATTGTAGATATTTTACACTTCTTCGTTTATTTTCTCTCGTCTTCATGTTAATTGTGACAAACTGAACGGATACACTTCCGTGCAAGGTACTACGTTGATCTGAGTGCCTGTCTACCTGAAAATTTATGAATACACATTCGGGAATTTGTTTAATGTAAAGTCTTCATTAATACTGAAATGTTAAACGTAGCATAGTTGGATGATGTCTACATACAGAGAAAAATCATGATAAAGCGATTTGGTACTCAACATGCTTATATTCAAAGTAGGAAAACAAAGACTGTTAAGTTTTAATAATGATGTACAAATTCCACCCAATATTAATAAGAATAAAAAATATACATTCATCTTCATTATTTTCCACTTATTGTTTAAATGTACATCTCATGCAAAACCATGGAGACCAATGTCTTATACTTAACAAAATGTATACGTTAACATACAGACCCAAAGAAAATGAGTTGCTTTATTGTATATCCCCGCTAATTGTAGTGTCGTAGTCTGTTGCTATAGTGGTTTAATGACAAGTTGTATTTTTGTATGTTTTTTAGGTGAAATTTCGCATTAAAAAGGTTTTTTCTGGAGTAAATATTATCGGTGGCATTATATTCTTGAAATGCGTTACATTTGCTGCACCTTTATCAGAAAATGTTACTTGATACTGATATCTGCTCAATGTAATGGATTAAGCGAGGCAGTAAGTTCGAAAGTTAACAGTATATTATTGAATTTCCTTGAAATCATGGTAGTATATTTTGTCCTTTTTATTAAACACCCTAATACCCAACTACAGGCTGAACAGATAAGGATGTCAAAGCCAGAATGGATAGGCAAGGTACACTTTCATCAATCTAAACTCAGTCTGAAAATTTTCTGCATTCAACATAAAGAATAAAATTAGGATTTTCAACTCAAATGTTAAATCACTTCATAGATATAGGTCAGAAAATTTGCGTGTGCAACATGAAAAGCATTTCCAGCAACCATCTGCAGGCTTTTATCAACAGCTGTCTTCTCTGGCTTCATATTGAAGATCAAATGGATAGAAAGAATTAATGACAAGAGACTCTACGGAAAAGTAAACAAGAACTTATTGCTCAACAAATATGCAGAAGAAAGTGAAGGTAGATGAGACACACTGGGGAGACTATCGAATTACATCGGATGCCAGGCCGTCGCTGGAGTAGAACCCAAATAGGAAACAAAGAGATGGGCATTGGTCTGATAGTGACTTGGAGGATATCGTGCGACGAAGAAAGGAGACACTATAGACAATTGTGGGATCAGCTAAAGAGGATTGCAGAGAATAGAAACAAATGGAGATGCTTTGTTGAAGCTCTATGTTCCGCTCACAATCCAAGGGAACAGTGACTATAATACCCAACGGATAAAGGTGGCTCCACTTCAAAAAGGAGATATGCCATAAAACTGCCCAAAGGAAGTTACATTTATATAAGCTATTATTATTTCGTTTTCATCTGTTTCTTAGTGATATTACAAAGTTCGTATATGAGTTTAATACCACTTTAAACAGAGCTATAACTTCCAGCAGTATGCATCTCATCGAGCTAATGACTTCATGTGTTAGCTTTTAGGAGTAGTCAGTCTGCAAGAAATCCTGGGTCAGTACAGTTTTTTCTACCTTGTTGGCATTCATAGCAGTGCATCTACAATCCTGTGGAAACTTAGCTTTTCACCTGTGATTCGAAAGTGTACAATTCACTCCTGAATTCAAACATTTTACAATTAAATCAACATTGACACTATATTGGACTGTCTTTTTGGTGCACACATCTGTCATCAAATTCAACCATTGTAAGTTTCTAAACCTAGGTGATGATGGAAACGTACTGAATAAATGTATGTAACGTGATCGCTAGGTAAAGTGACGCATATCTACAATTTCTCTAAATATACTGGATGATAAGCCTAAACAAGAGTAAAACTTAGGTAGAGAACTTTCTGTTGTCTGCCTCTTAACATCTAAAACAAAGGAGAAATGCACTGCAGTGTGTGGTGGTAATTTGTTATTTGACCGATTTGCCCAACTGTATACCTTTCCTATAGATTTAGAGGATTATACTTAACGCTAATTGACTATATTTATTGTCATTCGGCAATCCATTTGCAGTCAGTATTTCATGTATCAGAAATTCAACTAATCTTGACTAGGCATACTACTACTGTTAGAAAATGCAGTAAAAATCAGACGCTACAGTCGCTTTGTTTTTCATTGCTTATCTGATATCATTTGCGCCAAACAATAGCATATTTGTTTATTATTATATTTTACTAAGTTACATAAGGCTCAGAATACTGCATATATATCTATATATACCTATTATTTATTTGTTACAAAGGGAAATATGATGTCTGTGAAATTCACTTATTATTTCAATAATAATAATAATAATAGTGCAAAAAATAAATATTTACACTGCACCCAGTTTGTGATGTAAACAAAAGTAATGGTTATTCATTTCTCCTAATACAAAAGTAGTAAATCTGTCGTCCAATAAGAAATGTATTGAATTTCCTCCTCCCACGCGTGTTCAGTGTATGATTGGTTGTTTCCTAAAAATTCTTAACAGTTTCGTTATAAATTTCACACATAAAAAAGACGTAGAATTCAGTTTTTAAGTACAATAATCTTCATGACATTTATGTTAACATGGAAATATTTTTAAAGTGTAATATTTTGTGTATCATAACTACAATGATAGTTGATAATGCGTATTCAAAAGGATATTGGGAACAAAAAGCATCAGTCTTTCAACATTCCAGTAATGCGAAAAATCAGTGTATATTCCCTTCAGTCCATAGACGTAAAGCTATTTATGAATGTCAACATACACAGGTTTCTCCACCAAATGAGGAAGATGGTAATCAACTGATGATGAAGATTGAATCCAAATGGTGGTGCCCATTAACAGACAATTATGATCATTATCCTGAATGGCAAAGTTGCCCAGAGACAGCATCTACTTATGGTGGTAATGATCCTGGAAAACAGTGTCATTTCCCATTTGTCTATCGTAAACGCTTGTATTCCACATGTATTCGAGCTGGTGGCAGTTTGCATTATGAGAATCCAAATGATCCTGTTCCTACAGACAATGGCGAAAGTGGTTATTGGTGGTGCTCTACAACACCAGACTTTGATTTTGACGGTAAATGGACAAAATGCCGGCCACAGTTAGCCTATCAGTTACCATGTTATTTTTCAAGTATGCTGAACACTGTCGGTGGCCTTGTACAGAATAGTCAACATGAATGTCAACCATTTGCTGGACACTGGATATGTCGTACTGAATTAAATCAAATACGTGAATGTCCTAAAACTGTACAGAATCTTCACAATATAAAAACAGAAGGTGGGAATGATCCTGGGTTTCCATGTCATTTTCCGTTTCAAGCTACTATTTCCTTACACAGAGATGAGGATCAAAGCGCGAATATTCCTGTGAGAAAACAAAATTATACTCGTTGTCTGCCTGGAATCGGTGAGTCAGGATCTTCACAACAATTATCAATATATCCAACATGGATTGGTTATTGGTGTGCAACTACAGACAATTATGATAGAGATAAGTTATGGACACGGTGTAATGTTGACTTGACACAACCAGAGCATCTTACCTTTATTTCATCGAATAAATATATACAGAAGTTTACACTATCAGAAATATGGTCTAAGCTGATGTGGTTAAGTGTCCTAAAAGAAAGTGAAAAAGTCAAAATTGTTTTACCTAACCAGCTTTATGGAAATGATTTCTCTCAGTCTTTAAGTCACTTAGAATATTTACATGCATCATGGGAATTACTTGAAAAACGTAATGATCAACACCAGCTAATAACAAAGGAGTACAAAACATCTCAAGAAATCAATGAACTCAATTGGTGGACATGGTTAGCACCATTCTGGTGGATAACTTATAAACTGAATGAGACTTATTCACCTGATTCAGTTTTTCATGAAACTGTTATACACAGTAAACATGTAAGCACATTAAATATTGGCAATAATGATAATAATCGTAAAAATCCATTAATTTATGGTTTAAAACTACCACTGTGGTTAGATGATTGGAGTGAATCAGCCTGGGATAATTATGCATTACATATGAAAAATCGATGGATAAATTTAATTAAACATTTATATCATAAATGGTTACAATCATGGTTAGTTGCATTTTCAGTCGGTTTTATATCAGCTATTGGGATAATTATTTTTATATTACTGATCATCATTTTATTAGTGAAAAAATCAATACGGATACAAATGATTAGTAGTGTTCTACGTTCAAAATATCAATCCTATGATAAGAGTGATTTTGGGGAGAAATATAAAATAAATGATACTATTAATAATGATGATAATGACAAAAATATTATCAATAATGTTGACAGTCAAACACTGTGTTCAGTTAATGTTACAAATATTGATGGATTACAAAAGACACTCCATTTAATTCCACACTGTCATGGCTCATTTAGTACTTGTAATACAGATAATATGCCAGGCTGCATAAAACAACTAACGCTATCCAATACAAATGATACATTCAACTCATCGAACTCTTTTCATCAATCGGTGAAAAATTTTAAAGAATTTGAGTCGACTGAACATAATCCTGATCGTTTATTGTTATTATCATCATCATCCCCGTCATCATCAACATCGTTATCAGTATGTAGGCCTATTAAGAATTCAGTACAGTCAAGATGTTGTGAGTATTCATGGAAGATGCCTATTTACGATACTACTAGAACAACAAATATTACTGCTACTGCCCTTACTAGTAATAGTAATAATAATTTCAAAAGAAACAGTATTCTAGATACAGCTAATAACTATTATATCAGTAGTATTATTAAAGAACATATCAAGTGTATTTTAGATGAAATTAGTCAATCTTTTAGTAATGAAGGAAAGTTAAATGATGTTTCAAAGTGTATGCAAAATGTATCTAGAATTATTGATTTATATTTAAATCAACATTCTAAATACTTTTATAACGATGAGAAGGAGCATATTGTCAACACTCAAGGTTATTCATTGGATTCACATCAAGAATTGGCAAAATGTTGTTTATATACCATTGATGATGTTGATCATGAATATACATGTTGCTGTCGTGACTATTCAGATCATAATGGTCGTCGCCGTCTCGATCCACCTCCACGCCCACTTTATTGTCATCCTCATGATTACAGTACTCTTTCTTACTGTGATAATTCACCAAGGCATAGTATTACAAATTATGATAATCAGGCAGAGGTTGTTGAACCTAGTGCGCCGCCTCCAAGTTATGATCAAGTTGTTCCAATATTGTGAGTAAATGTGATGTTCCCTCTGGAATAGGATCTCACTCTTTGTCTGTTTGTTTTTCCTTTAAAATCTTATATTCAGTCTATTTTCCAGTGGTTTACAGTATGCTTCACTTATTTCGCTTATTTTTCATGCATAAACTACTTACACTACTACTACTACTACTACTGATATTGTTTTTCGAGAATTCAGATGATCAACAAAAGTGAGAACAGATATTTGTTTACTTATTCACTCTCCAGGTGACTACTGTATTTTGTTTTTCACGTCGAAAGAGAACAACTAACTGACCAATTCTGAAATGAATGTTTATCATTGCTAACGTTTGTGTTTTTGTTTATGTGTGTGCGTGTATATATTTATTCCTATGTATATAAAGAATATTTTGATAAATGTTATGTGCCAAAATTTTACGATAACGATGATAATAATAATAATAGCACATAAAAGAAAAACAAGTTAGATTTTTATTTAAATTGAGTGTTGTTTATGTGGATTGGAGAGGGGGGACGGAGTGAACGACTTACCAGTTGCATCTCAAGCAAGTTAGTAAGTAATCATTTGGGAGGATTTTTGATAATCCACCCTAACCAGGTTAACCATCATCATCCGCTGTTAACAGTAAAGTCTGCATATTCACTCCAACACATCGACATAGCTTTTGGAGATTATAGTCAAACAAACAAAAAAGTAGATTTCTAGCACTTATCAGTTTCTATAAGCTTTTTTCCGAGTGTTACCTCAGAATAATTACTAGGCTACAGTCAAAACTTTATTTAATAATGTTAACTATAAATTTATACAAAAGTCATTTGGTATTTTCCTTGCTCTACAGTTGACACACAGTTAATGTAAGTTTTTATGTTCTTCATATTTAAGCGATGAAAACGAATGATTTACCGGTAAGTGAATAAAAATCAGTTCAGTCTTATGTACTAACTGAACACTAATGTATTCGTTTATCTTAGCATGTACTGAATAAAATACATCATACCTGAAGAATTTCACAATTATGGCAACTTTCTTAGCTGAAGACATAAATAGTAAGTTTAAGATGTTTGTCATTGAAGATTAAAGTTTGGGGCTAGAATATCTCTGAAAGATCCAATTTGAACACTGTCAGGTTAACATTTAGTAAATCAGTCTTATCGGGCTCGAATACTGTTTAACTGTCCAGCTAGGTGATTCACTTTAACAGTATATCGTATTTGCTGTTGAATTAATTTTCAGAAATCATTTAATGGGCATTCAACATTTACACCGTTTCATAGTTACTGACACTTATCAGTAGAGTTTAATTTTGACCTCCGCTTATCAAGAGGTTAGTACATGTGATTATCAGGGCTATAGTATCAATCTGTAATTCTATAAAATTATATAAAAGAAAGGGTGGTCAGCGAAGAGGTATTCTTTTCGGCGATATTCTCAAGCTGTATAATCGCACATATATCGTAAACTGTCTTAGCAACGAAAGGAATATTTCTAAGGATGTATCATTAGAACTGTAAATTTTCCATAACAAATTGCGTAGTATCGAAAGCGTTAGTCGAATAGAAACTACTTTAGTTTGGTACACAGTTCGACAGGTTGTCAGTACAGAACAAATAGAGGGTAATTGACAACTCTTCAATGACCTACATGATTTTAAATCCAGAACCTTCAGCTTTGCAGTGATGTATATTACCAGTCGATTAGTAAGTCTAATTACTAATTCTGTGATCTATTTGATGTCATAAGTAGCAGTCGAGAGAATAACTAATATAAGATGTTATATATTACCAGCTGATGCGAATATTTGGGAATCCCTCTTGTCAAATAGGAGTACTTGCTGGCTAGACTGACATCATCCAACCAGCAGACGACCGTTTTTCAGAGACTAGAAAACTCGATCATTTGAAACAACCCTAACTCTGACTAGGAACTCGAATGAACTAGTAATAACATAGAATTAATTTCACCATTTGCAAATTTCACAGTCGGAGGTAAAAAAGATCACCATCATTTCTCTGGAGAACCAAAAATTTTCAGATCACAGTATGTGACCTACGTGATACCATAATTGGCAATCACGAAAACAAGCGGTATCATTTATTAACATTTCACTCCTAACAATCTCGTGATTTAAAGATGTTAACAGCTGAAATGAGTGATAAAATTAAATAAGTTCATTTTGTCCTACAAATTCTTTCATTATTGCGTTGTTTAAATATATCAAGAGTGGTGGCTGTATGAAAACCACTAGAAGGAGGAAGTTAGTTGGCATAATATTGGATTTGCATATATCTATTATTCATTGCCGGAATGTGAGTGTTTGTGGTCATTTCAACACATTTTAGTCTGTCGTCCTCAACTTTAGTGTTATCTGCTTTGTAATAGTTTGAGTAGCTGCATCCGCATGTATTTAAATATGTGGAAGTGTGTTTGTGTTTCAAGGATAAAAATTACTCTTGGTCAACTTTTTAAAATTCTTTTATAACTTTTTTGAATACTATAAGGCGACGGATAGTAAATGGCGACAAATTCTAATAGGAATAAATGCATAGAATAAACTTAGTAAACAGATATGAAATGAGTTCCTTTCCCCTCACTTCCTGATGAAATACCATAAAAATTAAATATTTTGTCTTCTAACTAACTTTGTGAGTGTAGAATTATTCGTCTTTGTGAAAGCGGGTAAGGAAACGTAATAAAAAAAATGACAATCTGGACGTATGCACCAGTGGATCCGTTGAGGACCGTTGATTAGCATGAGTGGTTTTTAAGTAATACTGTTACAAGTCACTGGAATATATATTGCTCAGTTATTTCGCTCAGTTTAAATGCCATCGTTCAAAGTAGCCAGCAAGTTACAGTTTATAGTCCAAAATATTTTTTGTTTTAAAAGTTAGGCACCATGGTATATTATCCAGGTGTTGAGAATCTAGACAGCATTTGTTTTGACTTTGGATACTAATAGTGCAAATAGGCAGATGACCCTCTATGCGCAATGCTTCCGAGTGCTGACTTGATAACTGTGAGCCTGAAAGTACACTGTGCCTTCGATCACTTTTACTTATCTAAAAGGTGTCACAGATTTAAGTGTGTATTACTTTAATCTGCCAACAATACATGCAGTACATTAATAAACCTGATTCGATGAATATACGTTCACATAAAAAACAACGCAGTGAGATTCTCACTTACCACACTGTCATGCAGTTGCTAAGGTGATCCGTAGAGAAGAGAATGACTCTAAAGTAGCTCTCGCTGTTAATCAAAATCAAGTGGATACAATCTGTATAAAGTACCATAACTAATCGTAAATGACCGCTCAAAATTACACGTAGAACAAAGAAGAGAAGTGTTCGATCTTATTGCCAAAATACTGATTCTAACTCATTCAGCAGCTCATGTCTTTCAAGTTTCATCATAGTCATAGATAATATCTCATTATATTGTGGTTCAGAAAAAGTTAAGAGCGTGAATCATGAAATACTAGTTCAATGGTCGAATGTTCGTAGTGAAACCTGACGGCAGAGAGCTTGACTATGGTCGGAGTTATTGTCACAGAACTTTGAACCAAAATGTTGCTTCATGTCGATTATGAAATACTAAGATGTTTTGCAGTTTTCGTTGGTTTCATGTCTGTAGCACTATTTACAAACTTCTTTTCTGGAGACGCATGCTTTACAAAGATATTTTTTAAATGAAGTGGCAGATTTTAATTCATTTCTGATAACAAGTATCATGATACAAATAAGTTATGGTGGTGCAAGAAATAAAATTGCAACCATATGCCCAAATTTTGGTCTGTAGAAGCTTCATTGTTGTTTGGCTGATGGATGTCAGCAGTGGAATTCAGAATGCGAATTTCGTCCTATTTGGGACTTGTAACCTGGATATGCCTGCATCTTCAGTAAGTGATGGCGCAATCCCAACTGAGACTCATTGTGGTTTGTCGACATTCATGATTTATCTAAATACTTATTGAAGAGAAGCTTTACTGAGTCATACTGTAATCTATATTACACAGGGATAGATAATGTTCAAGAAATTTTCTTACAAATATGGCACATCTGAAATTCCTAGAGGACTTGTACTCTTTTGAAGATTTGCTTCCTTTAGTTACATCTCGTAAGACAACATCACCGCTATTGAAAATTCAAAATCTTTAAGACCTATGTTTCAGTCAAAACAAAAACGAATGAAAACAAAAATCAGACTAGATGACACGATGCTGCAATACACAATAATCTGGTGTTGTGCGATAGGTATCAATTGTCAAGGAGCATGAAATCTGGTCGAGTCAATAATGAACAAGTACTGAGCTAGTATAGTACACGAGTGCATTACCTTCCATCTATGACTATGAAGTGTATCCTTCGACAGTGTGTGATAATGTGCGGCTGAAAACTACTCGTGTGCCATTGAGCTCTAGTTAATAAACGTGAGATTCTTAGTTATCTGAAAAATAAATTATTCTTGCTATTCAACTAGCACTTTTTACAAGTTAGTTTTTAGGAAATTAATTTGCTTCAAGTGTGATCACGAACTGATTTCAGTCAGGAAACTACTGAGACAGCTTTTTCGTCCTAGTTTGGAGCTCCTTAGCAGTACGCACCTACTGGAATTCGAATCCATTATTGGAAGGTCCTTCCTGGTCGTGAGTCAGAATCTTTGGGCCATTGGATCGGTTCCCAGTGGCTCAATTGCCTTAGAGCTCGCCTCTTAACTAGACAGTTCTGGACAAGAACTCCGGTGGGTGCATACCCCTGAAGGGTCCCAAACTAGGATGATCCATCTTTTCAATACTCCCTGGTTTCGAGAAGTTCTCTAACTGACATCAATGCGTGATCAAACTTAACACTTTTTAATTAAAAGATCAATGTATAGGAATATCAACATATATGCTAGATGTCTCAGTCGTTGAAGATTTATAAACACATCCACTGATTTACCTTCTTCATATATCATTATCAGTGCACATTCCATGATTCTGCTACAACTGAGCAACTCTATGAATATATCCATGATCGAACACATGCAGTCTCCATACTTTCCTTTACTTTACACCTAGTGAGTAGAATACAGAAGACTGCTGCAGTTGATAAGTTGTTGTTGACCATGAAAGAAAAGGTATGAGTAAGCAAATGACTAACTGGGTTTTAACACTGGTACTGAGATCTTATCGCTAAGATCTATTTCACTAGATTTGATAGTGACAAATTGAAAATCGGGTGTATGCAAGCATCTTCAGCATGTTCACAGCCACCTCCTTACCAGCTGGTTGGAAAAACTAAACATTACATTAAAAGTGGACGGGAATAGTATGCCTGTACACTGCCTACCTTTGTTTTTGTATGCATCGTAGCAGACAACATCAAATGATGCGTTTGAGGAAATAGTCATACAGCAGTTACTCCACGAGCATTGACCAATTCAGAAATTTGTGCCTTAGGCGGTAGA